AACCTAGGCCATGCTAAGAGACCATTTAGGCCTCCATTTATGTCCATTAAACATATAAGAGTGTGTTAAATGATTCTCAAGGTTTGGCAGCAACTGTGATAGACATATCTTCCTAATTGCAACCCAAGTTTAAAATTTATGATCCAAAAAAAAAAACCTATAAATGATATAGCTTATCGTGCGTCATGAGGCATCTAAACTAGCCAGACTTATGAATAATTTTGTGACACCGAATGCGACTTTTTATTTCTATAAGTTCATAAAAATATTTGGATAAAACATAATTATGATCAAATAAATGGGATATAGCTGGTGGTCATTCCTTGGCCACGCTATGCAAGTCAAGTTAATATCTGCACCTACTCTTAATGTGCGGTTTGGCGGACTTGAGAAGATGTCCATTTCAGGTATCACTGCGCGAAAAAGATGAAAAAAATTTAAATGCGTAGCCCTCGTGGTAACGCAAATCAGTCATAACAATGATTCAGTCAACAACTTCATAACAGAAACTTGATTTGTGGATCAAGTATGTAACTTTAAATCTGTAAAAAAGATGCAGTTGCTACTAACCATTTTTAATGTTACATCTGTTGCTTATTTCCTCTGATGAAAGGTCGCTTTCGGCACTGGTAACAAGTAGTAGCATGAGGAAGTTTCCGGCGTTTCCAAGCCAATGTGTGCTTAGCATTCTGGTCATTGGATGTTCGTCCACTACCTCATATAAAAGGTACCTAAATGTAAAATCGTCTGTTTGCTATGGCATAAGGCAAAATGTCCTTTTAGAACCAAAGCGGGACTGAAGGTTATGGAGACCTTTCTCTTCATCAACAGATTAACAGTCAAGTTATTACAAAACTTCCTCTGGGTAAACGGACCGAAATGCAAAATGATAGGTGAAGGACAGGGTTAAACCTGCTTTTGAGGATGTGGTTTTATCATTATTACTATTATCAGACTTATATTAAAGTTCACACGGCAACCATCATCATCATTACCATTATTATCATTATTATTATTTTAATTGTCTGCATTATGGCATATGAGGTAATTCTATTGTGGCCCTGAGATGCTGTGATAGCATTGCCTTTTTCTATTTACCAAACGAAAATAATCAATTTCTCTTTCAAATGCAAGCGCTCAAAAGAACACAAGCATACTGTGACCAAGCAAATGCACTGAACAACTAATAAGCTGTTTCGTGAAGTATGTCATATCTTGTTACCTAGGCAACTGATGCTCACGAAACTTGACCAAATTGTAAATGGAATGTCTAAATAAAGCCTCAAAAGAGTAGGCGAGAGTTTGTCATGAAAGACTGAAGCGACAAATATTATTTTAAAGAAAGAAGAAAACCTCATTCACTCCCCTCGTTATATTTTTATGATTGATATTGATTTTTTAAAATTTGTATGTTTTTCATAAGTGTTGGCAACATAATTTCCCATGGGATAATTTAAGTGGGTCTCGCAAAAGCACAAGATGTTCTTCATTTCAAGAAATGTTAAGTTTCTCACTGATCACTCAAATTGCTGGATTTACATGAGTTTTTGCAGAGCTTTGAGAGCTTTGGTGAGCTTTTGGTGAGCTTTCGTGAGAATAAAGTATTTAAAAAAAATTAATAAATAATATAAAAGTCATGGAGAGAAAAAGATCATTCAACCCACCTCAAGTATTTCGCTTGGCACAGCAAACAAGGCAAAAAGATGTGAACATATTCAGCTTTCTTAAGTTGAAATAAACATAAATGAAACAGGTGTTTTTGCCTACATATGTCACAATGTAGATCTTTTTCGATCCAATGGTATACCTAGCAGCTATATTTCTACTTACTTGAATCCGCATGAGGCCATGTTAGAGACCATGTTCATTAAACATGTAAGAGTGTGTGAAAAGGTTCTCAAGGTTTCGCCGGTTTTAAAACGCAATAGGCACTTCTTCATAATTGCAACCCAAGTTTAAAATTTATGACTGGAAAAAAAACATATAAATAATATGGCTTATCGTGCGTCATAAGGCATTTAAACAAGCCAGACTTGTGAATAATTCTGTTTTCTCGGCGCAAGTCGTAATATTAGCACAGATGAATACATACGGTTTGCAAAATTTGATGAGACACCGAATTCAACTTTTATTTCTATAAGTTCAAAAATTTGTAAATAAACAAAATAATCACGATCAAATAAAAATATATAATGGTCCTTTTTACAGATTTCACAGATGAGCTAAGCTGTTTTGGCGAGAACTTTGCACATCAATATCGCCCAGCAGTTAGTTTTCAACATTCGGAGTTTCCGCTTGGTAGACACGCACATACAGCAGCAAGAATGATCGAGGATTATGAGGGTTTTTTCTCCTAACCACGCTTTCCTTTCCGCCGGTTTTACTACCCTACAAAGAAAAACTTCGAATGACTCACTCATTCAACGAGTTGACAAGAACGAACACGAATTTAAAAATGTCGGCTTTTAACATTTTCCTTATATCTATTTTCCTTAACAGTGATGATAAACATTCTGTCATGAAAATTTAAAAGCAAAATCTGGGATCGGTTGCTTGAATGCTGAAAACACTAGAAATCGCCTTTTGCGTAAAGGTGATAATTCATTGTAATGTTGACATCGTTATCCATTGTGACACCACGAAATGTAAGCTGTTCGTAAATTTTTCCCACGTGTTGCCAAAATATTTGAAGGATAATAAACGCAATAGCCTTCATTAGGCCCGAAAATATGCTCGTAAATGTGCTCATCAGGATCACTACAAATAAAGAGAAATAAGAGGGTCTCAATAGGTCGGGGTGATGGTTTTTACGGCTTACGGTTAAAAATTTTGGCCAATTCACGGCTCTCGGATATCTGGATCGGCTGCTTCAGTGCTAAAAACGGTCCAAATCGACTTCAGCGTAAAGGAGATGATTTATTTTAATACTGACATCGTTATCCATTTAATTGCATTTGCAAGCGATCTTTAAGATTGGTAAAATTCAACTTTGCTCAAAGTATGTTGATTCGCTTGAATATTTTTTTGATTATGTAGGTTCTTGCACCTGTTAAACATATAAACTCCACGAATCTCGATGACGCTGCAAGGTCCTCACATTAAGATTAGTCAATGTAAAAACTAGCCACATCATGTAGAACAAATGGCTGTATTAGGCTAATATGACGATTGCTGACAAAGTAGCTGTTAAAGCTCTAGGACAAAATGCAATCGCACTGTGATACCAAAGACTTCCTGTGTCTGTACTTGTCTGGTAATTTCCTGATGTATTTCACATAATTATGACACGGCAGTCTTAGCTATAGAGCTTATCACTGGTTACAAAGTTAATGAGTTCTGAACTCCTTAAGGGAGGCACAGGTTCCTGATATCATTAAGAAGCGGATCATACGTTACCATATTCTACCCTGATGGCTGGCCTCAGGTTCGACCTTGAACGATTATAAATTTTGTTTTGGTCCAGTCGCTCCAGTGCTTCCCCCAGCTCTCGCTCGGCAACCGTGAAGTTGGTGCCATGTCCATGTATATCTCTTAAGGCTTCCCTCTGTGGCTGACAAAACTCAGATACGCACAGTTAAACGAGACTGTTTCCGAAGTGTGCGCGACTTCGATGCGCAATGCTCTCCTGGTTAGGCATGAAAACAAACTTCCGTAACGTTTCACCTGATTGCGACCTATTTTAACAAAGAGGAGGCCAAATTAGTTCATGCCCACAAGAGTAAATGGTGGATCCGTCGGAGCGACTCGTGTGGCGCAATACAGTGTATTATCTATACTCCAATAATGCTTCATGTATTCGAGGTTAACTCTTCAATCCTCTGAAATCCATTATTTCGAGTAGTTTCTCTTTTTTTAACGTTACTCTCTCATCTCATGGCATACTGATCTTCATTTCCTTTTAGAGATTAGATGAGATATGTGGTGTGCTAGTCACTGCACTCGTACCATTCTCACGTTTCACTAATATTTCCGATAAAAAATATATATATATGTATTTAAAAAAAACCAATTGCTCTAGTCGAGTGCAAGACCAGATTTCAGTTTTAGCATGAGATGTGTAGTCTGCTAGTCACTTACTCGTAACATTTTACTAATACTTCGGGTTAAAAAACAACTGCTTTAGTCGAGCACAAGACCCAATTTCAGTTTTAGCATAATCTATAAAAATATCGTTGGCTTTCATAAATGATTGAGTTTTGTAGTTTTATTTTATATTTGCTTTCAGTTAACTCCAATAAAATGAATTAACAAAATAAATTTATAGAGCACCAGCACCCTTTCCACTTTTGGCATAGATTAGGTTTCTGAAGATATATTGAGTCACATTCCAAAGCCTCACCACAAGAAAAATTTGAGATTCTGATTTGAGCTAGACCTAATCAAGGGTCAGCCTTGATAATTGAAAAAAATACCGTTTTCAACTCTCACATTTCCTCCATTTCATTGTTTAGACGAATTGATTGGATTTTTTTCGAGTCCTCGATTTCTAAGTGTTATGTTAAGTGCTTTAACACAGCACGAACATTTTGCCAATTTTGATTTATCGAAAAAAAAATGCTCTATCCGCCACCTTAGGCGTTCATAGGGGTAGGATTGACATGCAAGTGAGAAATGGTGACCTAATTTGCTAGTATGTGTCATTCATCAGCAAATTCTCAGGAGATGGAACTCCCATCAGAATATTTGCTCCAATTAACCATGGAAATAAATTATCAGGGATCCGTGAGTTAGCTTTCATTTGGATCGAGGCCTGTATCGTACAAAGTGGAAAAAACTTAGAAGGTAACAGCATTATGATTGATTGGTTTGCATTCCAAGGATCGCAATCAGGAGTATCTCATGGCCAAGCTATTTTCAGTCTTACCACGATTGGATCACACTGCAATCGGGTTAAATTCACTCAGGCATAGATAATTAAAGCATAATAGTCTCTCAACGTCCTATGTCTTGTGTCTTGTGTCTTGACTCCTTCCGCTAAGAACACCTTTCGTCCTCCCTTTCTTACCTAGTTCTTAGAAAAACAAAGAACCCTTTCAATTCGTTTTATCGTTTTTCTTTCTTATCTTCCTGTTTCTTCTGGAATTTCATTACTTCTTCTGTATTTCTTTATAAGGTTTTTAGTTTCTAAAAGATCCGCGTCAACAGTACTTCCCATCTTTGCATTTGCAGTATTTGTTTTGTCGTTTCCTTTATCTATGATCATTCATCTATTTTTCTTTTTTATTTCTTTTTGATTAGTCGTTTACATCGATACCCAAAATTCACGTGACTTTGCAACATGGTACTTTAAACCAAGTTCAGGACGCAAACGTCTCCACGAATTATTTAGAAGTTTGTTTACAGGAATCGACGACATTCGACGGCCTTCACGATAAACTTCAGTGATATGTTGAACATAGAAATTACAAAACAGTTCCCATACGGTCAGGAAGTCTATGATATTTATTTTCCTTTTTTCAGAACTGGATGGCCTACGAACATTTCCACATCGTGGGAGACAAAGGATTCCTTGTCTGTAAGGTTTTCCGAAAACAAGGTACCATCTACAAGAAACAGTTACGCCTTATGTAAGGTATGTAATTCCAAAGTAATGATGCCCTCGACAAGGGAATGGTAAGGAGGCTCGAACCCGAAGAGTATAAGCCAGAACGGGGACGAAACCCATTTGGGTACGGTAAGTATACCTGCAGCTTCACAATTCGAAAGATACCTACTAACCCGAGGAAACAATTAAGGACACTGGGGATACCGGTCAACTAGTCTTCCCAACCCAGTCGTAGAAAAAAACATTGACTCCTTCGCAACCAGGGTTCCAATAGAGCGAATGGAACCTAGTACTAAATTTAAAGTTTGCTTTTTTAAAGATTAGCGAGGCTGAGACATGGTATACGAGCGCGCTCGATCGCAAGGTGAGGCGAAGAAAATCCACCTGAAGTCACGCTATTGTTTATGCTCTTCTGCTCCCTAACAGCGCTCATGAAAGGATTGACAATGAAATTTAAGAAGAACAAGTCACAAAAAATGACGTCACGCGGATTAAAGCGCCAATTCCCGGAAACCGTTCGCCAGGCGAACGGTTGGAAGAGCATAAAACAATGATGTGACTAAAGGCGCATATTCTTTGCCGCGCGCATCACACTCGTTCCCACGCTCCGCGCGCGTGCATTCGTGTATTGCACCTTGACCCCGCCAAACCACCTGTTCAGCAGGCTAGACTATAGTTTGCATGAAAAATTTTTGTAAAATATTGCAACCCACTTAAGTAATTCTCAAAACGTTCTTTCGAGTTTATAATTTATGAGCTTCATAAAATCTTATTGTTCTCTTTCTACATTACATCAACCATTTCAGTGGCTTGCACATTGACGTTTTAGTACAACAACAATTAAATTAGCATTTATTGTGAAGTAGCGGTAAAAGTTGCCGTCTGCTTTTTCTCTGACCAGTTCGGTCATGTTACCTGTAAGGAGAATTCTCTTATTTCAGTTGAATCAACTGAATTTCATGTAAACGATGAAAAGGTGTTTACATAGTATACAACGCAATGCATTTGTTCATTTTGAGTTGATTAACTTCATGGCTTACGTATACCTATTTTGAAGTTGTGTAGAGGATTTTCGAAAGTCGAATCTGCGATTTTCATAACGCAAAGCCAGAGTTCGGAGAATGCTCCTTTAGTTGAAGATGGTTATATCGTCTATCTCGTTTCTAAACGGCTGAGAAAAGGATGCCCTGTATTTTTCCTTTTTCAGAGGAGCAAGTAGGAGAAGTTTGAATAATAACGAAAATGGGCGAAGAACGAAGATTTTAATCAGTCCAAGCTGTCATTAGCACTAATAGTACTTCCAGTGTTATTGGAAGAACAAACAAAACAAAGAAACTTTGTCCTTGTTAGGTGTGCATTAATTAAACATTAAAAACGTGTTTATACTTCTCCCTGAATGGGATTTCATGTGGTTTATTACTATTAATTCACATCGTAACGTTTGTAAGTTGCGATCTACAATACACGATGGCATCCAAGAATTTTCACAAATTACTAAAAGAAAAAAGTGACAAGGTAACTCTAAAGCGGTTAATAGCGAGCTCACTGCAATTTTAAAATATTGCGGCAAGCTGGTTACAGCCAGTCCACTGCAATATAGAACGTTTTAGCTAGTTCAGGATTACCCTTAATAATTTCCCTCCTATTAGAAAGGACCGTTTCCACATCCCTCAGAAACTTAAACTGAATCAAATGGAATTGAAAGAAAAATTTGCTTCCTCTCACTTTTCAAAAAACTTCAACGTTAGTCCTTTTTTTTAGCATATTTCTAACCTATCGTGAAAAAATTACTCGGTTCTCATTAGTTAAGATAAATGCAGTTTTCAGTTAATTCAATGCAGAAGAGGGTTAACTCAGTGCAAAGAAAGTAACAAACCAGACTTTGTGATTGGTCAATGATCAAAGAAACTCACAAATAGCCAATCAAATGTAAGCCTTGGATATCGCAAAATTTGCGAGCAAAACAATGGCCGGCATTTTAGGTAGGTTTTCATTCGCCACCGCAACAACAATACAGCAGCTGAAAAACAGCTCTAACAACGAAAACACTGTAAAATGCACTGCTTTTTGGTTGTTGGTTTGGAAAAATTGGTGTTTAGAGAGGGGAAATGCCAAGGAAATCAAAATTACGAGCTGATCCAGCTTTACAATTTGCTCAAGCTATTCTACGTCGAAATTAAAAACAAACATGATTAAACCTCGCAAACGACGATTCCATTCCATCGAAAGTGGTTTGGACACAGACCGAAAAATTCCTTGAACTGTTTAGTCGGACTTGTTTTGTGCTTTATAGATGTGAAAATACCTATGTATATTACTGTTTTGATCGTACGCGGTTGTTTTGACCGAATACACAAGCTTGAATAAATTATTTTTGCACTCGATGCGCGCGCTTTGCTTCTGCGTCATTATGATAATATTATTGTTTATGATATCTTGGAACATTATGATAATATTAATATTATTATTTGCGTATTTTTCAAGTATGTTATTAATACGAAATCACATGATTTTTCTCGCGCAGTTTGGAATAAATAAGTTTGAAAAAATTTACTGGTACTTAGTTATTCCAAATTGCACTCGAAATCATGTAATTACCTATGCTAATTATCTCAGAATGTTGTAAAGCTACCCCAAATTTTATTTTTCGATTTTGTTAGCCCTTGATAAGATCTATTTTGCTTGCATTGTCAATGGCAAGAACATTATAACATCTTGAACGAATACAATATTTTTTGCTTTGTTTTTGTTTTTGTTTTTTAATTTATAAGGGCGACAATAAGGGTAGGAAATAAATGAGAGAAATGTAGGCTTGGTTGCATTTGGGTTAGTTTTGTGAGTTCGGCTACTTTGTTTGTTTTGTGGGTGATCAGAAGACGTTTAGTGAGTTCAACCATGCGGATCAGGTTGTAAGATACAGGAAGAACGAATTTTTAGTGACTAAACGCCATTGAAGCCTTTATATGCAATACCAAGAAAGCAGGTGTAAAAATGGAATACAGAAAATAAGTTATCAATTCTAAATGTGTCATTCTTTTACACATGAATTACCATCCTAATCGAGTATGTTAATAATTAGTGTATAAGGAGGATAAGTAACAACAATATTTAAAAGGCATTAAATGAACACATGTTTCTTCCTAGCTTACTGTGAGAGCAGGAACTAGGGGTGACCTCTCAGTTAACGTTCATCGATGTTTAACCTGCTGATTAGTATTTCCACTTGCAGTACATTCAAGTAAAAGGGTTGCAATTCTCTCTCGTCTTCGGATTTACGGTCATTACACTCATCACGGACGGTCATTACACCCCGATCTCGCTGCGTTCCGTCGGTCGAAACTATTTTCTCGTTTCACCCTCTCGCTCAGTTACTCCAAAAGTTAACAATTATTCACCTCCATCGGTGGCTAGTGGTGGATATTTATCGAGTCGCGAATCCCGTGTGAGTTTCTCGGAGGTGAGGAGTAAATATTCGTAGTTCGATTAGCCAATCAGGGTGCGCCTTCAACGTTATCCACTGTATCAGTATTAATCAAAATTGCAATTCCCTTGACTGTGGTTGGTTTTCAAAAAGTTTTATTTCACTCTTATTCACTTGTCAAGTTGTTATCGGACAGTTCAATAAGGCAATCATATTAAAAGTTGTAGTTTAAATTAACCAATCACAACCGTTGTTTCAATCGCCGTTAAAATAGTGTACAGACTCAGTTTGGCTATTCTTGGACTCTACTCAGTCCTGTTACCACTACGTATACTAACTCAATCATTGCTGACACTTCCAACGACTTATAAAAAAAATCAGCTCACTCTTTGGAGATACGTTCGATTGTCAAATTTTATTTAAGAACATATATCAATACACATGTACTCTTTGAAATAAAAAAAATTATCCTGAGCAATCAGGCTTGATCTTCATTTCGGCTTTGGTGGCTTTATATTGGGGCTCATCGGGCTGATTTTGACTCCACTGTGCCCATTTTAAACCGTTTTCATGTTGGTATATACCGTTAAGGTTGGAGTTACCACAATGATCTTTACCTTCGGGATACCACCAAGCTCCAAATTTCTTAGCACAACCGAGCTGCGTGTCTTTGTCCATTGTAAAAAACGAAGCGTTGCGGTTGTGATCAAAAGAATCACTTGCGTTTCCTACAGAGCGAGAAGAAAAGAAAAAAAGGATTTAAAAAATAAACAGAAAGATAACGGTATTTATTAAACGCTCAATTTCAGTCAGCTGGATAGAGGCTCGTATCACAGTTAATTTTTTAAGACAAAATAAACAATCTAGTTGCTGTTCAGTCAATTTAATGAGCCAAACACTGCGAAATGATTCAGATTTCATTGCAATTCGACTGTCATCGCTTTCTGTATAAGGCTTATTCTCCAAGCCTAAAAATCTAGCTGATTAATTGATTCATTTTTTCAGACTTTGAATGAATGACAATGATAATCACCCAACAAATGTGAATACCTGTAAAAACCCTTCCAATTGTGAGGGCGTAATCTTTGCATTCCGTTTCAACTAAGAACAAGTCGTACTCTTCGAAAATGCGTTGAATGCCCTGGCTGAGGTTAAATTCCAAATCTACTCTAAGCTTGTTCTTTGTTCTCCAAGTGAGACCGTTTATTTTGTCCAGTCCTAACCAAAACTCGCCACTCAAGTTACCGAAGCCACGCTTGTAGTCACACCAGCTACGATTAAAATTTACAGAGCCGTCCATTCTCTTCTGGATGACTGTCCACCCTCCTCCACCAGTGCTCTGGTCACAATACACATCAACGGCACTTAAACCATCAGGATAAATCGTGTAGACACCGCTGGTTGTATTTCCAGCCTTGTAAAGCTCAGCACAATTAGCTGTAAAAAAAATGTGATAAGTCAAAAGAATTAACGGACCTAATCAAAGCCAAGTATTAGTAGAAAGTTTTGGAAAGAAAAGTAGTTCCATGTACGTACTTCTGTACGGGAAATATAACTTCTATGCAAGAAAACAGAAATAACGAAGTACTCACCCGCAAATGACGTGATTGGACAACCCAATATCTGATTCCTAAAAGCCAACGCCAGGAGCAAAAAAATCCGGAGAGAACGTTGCATTGTTCGAATGTTGAATTCACCTGAAACTTCTTATAGCAATGAGAGTGCTAAGTTTTGATGGCAGAACTAGTGCAGCCAACTAAATTTATACTCCCTGATGGTAAACATTTTTAAGGAAGAGAATACGTCGACAGTGCCAAAGAGCTATTTTAGTATCATGGACTCAAAAATTTAATTTTAGACAGCTGTTTAAACAGAAGTTCAAGGATATCTTTTATGGCCATGCGGAGGCTTAGTGGAAGGAACAAAAAACATCCCACGGCTCAAATTTCGTTTTGGAAGAAACTGTTGCTCAATATTTAGACTTCCAACATTCGCGACTGTTTCCTCTTTAACTATACTCAAGAAACATACATTTTTCATATCTATAGGTTCAAACGATGTATTTACTCTTCAAAAGAAATTTGCTTCGAAAGGAGAGCATATGTTCATATACCCCTTGGAAGCAACACCTCATAATATATGAAACCACCTCTTTTTTTTCCTTTTTTTTTTTTTTTTTTGATTCAAAAATTTTCCTTTGACTGAGCCAAAAAGAAAATAATAATTCTGCCCAGTTTTTATTCTGGATTCATAGTGATATTATTGGTCCTCAGTGTAATGTTGCCGGAATCTACACTAATCAAGATGAAATTATTTAGAGTTAATCAGCGGAAGATTGATGATGTCCATATTTTCTACAGTGGACCCTCTTTGAAGTTGAATGAAAAAGAAATAAAAAAGAAAGAAAAAGAAACGCCAGCTGTTTTCAAATAGGAGGGTGTGAACTTCAAACTAAGTAAAACTCAACATGCTATTCAAGGAAGTAAAACAGGTCAAGGCTCAAATTAAAACTGAGTTAAGAATGCCAGCTGAACCTTAGTGGGCGAGAATTCCAAAGTTGACAGATGCAGTTAAACACAAGATCCCAGGATAATGAGAAGATTAGGATGTTGGCCCACTTATTTGATTTTTCGTATTCACTGAAGCCTGATGAAGAATTAATACTTCCGTCAATGGTACTAAGTAGGTTTAGCCAGGTTTTAAAAGAGGGACCGTGATGTTTTCCTCGTTTGTCTTATCAATGAAATGAAGCCTTTATGTGAAGGGTTCGAATTCGAGTGGACGACTTATTCAGTACTTGTTTACGAACCATTGAATAAATTTGAATGTCTTGGAAAGAAGAAAACAAACGCCACGGGCATTTAATATTTTTTTTATGATCTGTTTTCAAAAAACAAGAAAAAAAAAAAAGAAAAGAAAAGAAAGAAAACCAAAGTAAATGTGATAAAAAGGCAAACAGATAATTTCCGTAAAGAAAAGAAAAGAATACATGCGAATCAAATGCTATTCAGAAATGAAGAGCTAAACTGCCGAATTTTTTAGGGTCAATTCCACAACGGCTGTTGATCGAATTTCTAAGTTAATATGCTTATTTTTCTAGGTAGCCCAAAATTTGCCAGCTGCCCAAAAATATCGATGACAAAGCAAGACAAGAATACTCAAAGGATAATTCAAGAATAAGGTTTATTCAAAGAAGGGCTAAATTTTCTGTTGTGAAGCAAAAGCGTACGAATTTCTTTCGTCTACGAAACCCAAGGTGGATAATGATTATTCCTTGGCCGCCGATTTTTCTCTGGCCTAACGTAATTACAAATGAATAACTTCACATGAGACGCACTTCCTGAGTATTGCTTGGATCAGCAATATCGAAAGCCCCATGTGAGTTAACGAATTATATATGATTTTTTTAGTTCGCTAGTTATAATACAAGGGAGGATTTTTCCGTCTCGTTGCGAGCGTGGGACACGAAAAAAAAATATGAATGCCCATGAGTTATTGACCCAGAGATCTTTCTCTTCCTATAGAAGTATGAATGCGGTATGCCCGTTTAAAAATGAACTTTGTTACAGCCTTACTAACCACAAAATCTTCGTGGCTCATCGATAGAGTATAGAGTTTGATTCCTCATGTTAGCACACAATTATTACAATGTGCCCTACAGCGTTGACAAGACTAAAAACATCCCTCCTCACGATGTTACAGTTTCATTTTCATGCGCGTAAACGGCGATAGGAAATAACTAGGAAAATATAGGTTGGGTTATGTTCGTGAAGCTCGTGTTCTTATACTCAGTTTAGATACAGAAAATATCAATGGGGCTTTGTGATAGACAAGATCAATTGGCAAGAGGAAGTTAGTTCTGAAATAAAATGTAAAGAGGAAACACTGACTTTAATTTATGATAATTAAAGGTATGTGGGTTCCTAAGGTGTGGAGTAAGCTTAATTTCGAAGATGTTATATGAAACATGACGAGCGAGTTTTTAATAGCGATTAGTCACTGTTGACGCGCCCCTTGCCATGGAAACGACATGAAAACAGGTGCAAGGGGTAGGAGTAGAGAATTTCCTTTGTTAACATCACGTTCACAATGTTTTATTCTTTGACACAAAAATTATTATTACTCGATGAGAATAAAAGGCATAGTACATTGTAAAAGGTGTAATTGGATATCTTTCCATTTCTGAACTGCTAGTTTAAGAAGCAGTAACCAGAGGTGAATTTTCAATTCATTTTGCTCTACGTCTAACTTTCGGAAAAAAATAAAAATTGACTTCACCTTTTCTTGTTGTGAAAGAACTTCTTCTGATTAAATAGTTAATTAAAAGTTTCCTTGCTTTAACTGCTGTGTCGGAAGGGCAGTGTCGCTAGTAAAAAAATTGTTAAAATTTTAACTTCCCCGGCTATCATCAGGATACATAGAAGTCGGAATCTGTCAGCACGTTTTTAGTATGGTCCTCTTTGTACTTTTATAAACTGAGCCTCGTTATATTAATGAGAGAATTATTGGCGTTTCCATCTGAGAAAAATAGGCTGTGTTATCAAGGTATTTAAAGGCAAATCATTCTTTTCAACGGCTTTTATGATACAATGCGCTGAAACGTTTGGTTGAAATTCATCAAATAACGGTTGATTACAAAACCATTTAAACTAAATTGCTGAAATGTGCCGTTAGTAAACGGCGTGAAATCTTTCAGTATGTACATATACCAACTGAAAGAAATTATGCCGCTAGTTAACGGTTAAAATCTTACAGTATGTATATTTATCGTCTGAGCCGAATTACGCCGTTATTTAACGGCTTAAAATCTTACAATATATGTTTCATCGACTGAGCCAAATTACGAAGTTAGTTAACGGCGTAAACTCTTACAGTATATAGATATACAGACCGGAAGAAATTACGCCGTTAATTAACGGTGTAAAATATTACAGTATATATCACCAACTGAGCCAAATTACGCCATAAGTTAACGGTGTAAACTCTTAAAGAATATAAATATACAGAGCGGAAGATATTGACCCGAGTGAAATTACGCCATTAGTTACCGGCGTAAGATCTTACAACATGTATTTACACCGACTTAGCCAAATGACGCCGTTAGTTAACGGCGTAAAATCTTACAGTATTTATACACAGCGACTGAGCCCAATTACGGTTGTGAAAAAAATCTTACAGTATATATAATTTATGTTTAAATACTACTCAGAAGGCTTTATCCACCACAGGTACTCCTTGTTTCCTTTTTCATTTCGCCAATAAATAGTGAATTCTTATACGGGTATCTAATGCCTTCGTTAATTGCAACTACAATATCCGTTGCATTGCGGGAGTGTTTCTTCTTTTTCTATTATGTCTTAGTGAGGTCACCTTAGTAAGTACCGCAACGAATTCTCAGTCAAACTTGAAAAGTGACAGGGTATGCGACAACTTTCACGGGTATTGCGTTGGTAACAACTTTCTCACCGTAGTTAATCATAACCGTAACTACAGTGGTATGTGTGCTTCTTTTGGTTACGAACCGCGCCCCATTCGCACTTCTAATCATCCAACGAAAACCCAAGAAATTCATTGCAACCTAATTTGAATTCGAATGTCTTGTCTTGCTTTTTTTTTTCTTTTGTGTGTGTGTATATTTGTGTTTGGCCGTTAACTAACGGCATAATTTGGCTCAGTCGACGATAAATATATTTATATTATAAGATTTTACGCCGTTAACTAACAGTGTAATTTGACTCTGTCGGTGATATATATATGTTTATTGTAAGATTTTATGCCGCTAACTAAAAGCGCAATTTGGCTCAGTCGGTGATATATATTCTAATAGTAATGTCGGCTCGCATAGGACGGATTTTAATCATGAGTTGGGATGAATATTCATCATAACGAGTTATGTGACAAAGTGTCACGCCAGAATGTTATGTAGGTCATGCACGGTTTTACTTCAATGGGAGAAAGAAAACAAAACAACAGGTTTTCAATCAAACAATTTTGATATTAAAATGGTCCTCAAATAACAAGCAGGACGTGGACTCTTTCCCAGTGGACAATGCTCAATACATCATAAAATAGAAAAAATGAGCATTCAAGAAGTTCTCACAAATCAGTCAACATGGCTACCATTTTTTTTTTTTAATAACATCTATGTTAGCGAATAGAGGGTGGTATGTTGCTCGCACTAATCAGATCGTTTAGGGTATGTATCACGCACCAAATAGATCGCTGCATTAAGGTATGTATCTCGCACCAATCAGAGCGTCGTTTTTGTTCTTTGGTTTGAGAAGTGTTCAAATTTCAACGAAGTAACGGGGTATTCGGAGAGAGCGGTTCCAAATAGAATCATCTTTTAGAATGAGAAATGTTGGCTTTTCTGTGTTTTAAACATGTACATGTATTTTACCGCGCTTTATGAGAAATGCGATACTACTGAACAGATGAAAGATGTCAGATTACCTATAGTAAACTTGTTACTCGTGCTGTGAAAATGGTGGACAGTTGTTCGAGAGAAAATAGAGTCCTGTGCATTGTAGCACGATCATGGTTATTGTTCCTTCACGACGAGAGTGAGTAGAAAAATTTTTAGGTGTAGATGAATTACACCAAACATTTTGATTTGAGCAGTTCTTTAACGGCAAGCTTTGTTGCAAGATTCATGATTTGTTGAGTGTGCTGATTATTTATTTCTGAATTGGTTTGCTCGTTGCTATCTCTGGCTGAATGTCTGATTAAAATTAACTATGGACGATTTTGTGTGTGTTTTCGATGCCTGAAGAAAGTGATCTTGTGGAGTTGTTTGTGTTTGGACAAGGACGAATTCACATACCATCGTTAGTATGCTTATTTGGTTTTGTTATCTGGGACGAATGATTTACGGAGGTAAGTTAATATGATGTGATCTACTAGCGTCGAAAAATATATCAAGTCGAAGGAACAGTTTTGGTCTCAGTCTGCATTTTCGTCGACAAAATAAACAAATACCGCTTAAAAAGATGATAATACGACCACGTGCAAAGCTGTCAATTGTTTCTCGAATGTTGCGCGTGTCAAATATTCAATGATAGTGACATCTCATTTACATCTACATCTAATTTTATTACGTTGGTAAAATATGTACAGACATCATACCAACCAACTCGCACGCAAAGTGAGAAGACTACATGAGGGCTTGAAATTATATTAAGATCGATTTTGATCAAGAAATGGACCAGGAATATTCCACAGTAGTGCAAATAATCGTGAAGGATGATCACGGAAAAGCGATTGCGTGACGCTCGGTAAGTTGTAAGATGACATGCTATCACTAAACGAAAAAACTCTTAAGATTCTCAGTCTGTATTTTGTACCCATTCTGCAGTCTGCAGTCTACATTTTGTACCTAGTCTACATTTTGTATCCGGTTTGCAGTCTGCAGTCTGCAATCTACATTTTGTACCTAGTCTACATTTTGTATCCGGTCTGCAGTCTGCAGTCTGCATTTTTTACCTACAGGTATCCGTGGCACCAATACAGTTTATTTTTGGTTACAGTTATTCGTACAACACACACAATCTACCACGAAATACCTGTGTGTCAGTTAATTCGCCATTTTCGTTCTTTTCCACGTTGATACTCTTCTTTCCATTTGTTAAGATGTAGACATCACTTGCAATGTTTCAAGTAATCCACCCACCCCCAAAAAGTAATTCTTGCTTGCATAGCATGCCTATGTTTATATCTTCGGGTGTCAAACGTTTTAAAAACATGTTTTGACAGTTCTTCTGTCATCTTCAGTTCTGAATAATAGAGAGAATTATGTAGATCACGCTTCCACAACTTTTCAACTTAAAATCAAAGAAGCTATCCACATTCAGTGGGAGAAACCTACACCTAATCATCAACTTTATAATGTTAATTTAAAACTTTCCTTGTAAATGCATTGGTTATTCTGTTACCAATGTTTGTCTTGTCCAATCAACACTTGAATTCAACGTTGAACTTTGTATCATTCAGAACTGAAGATGACAGAAGAACTGTCGAAAAATGTTTTTAAAAAGTGTCGTTCATTTTCTTAAAACTACAACCTTATAGGATAAAGCAGTTAATGTCATCAAAAAGTCGAACAAAACTTTTATCTAACCCACTTCAGTAAGAACGAATGGCTGCTAATGAATCTCGCCTTTTCACTCATAAAAACAACGCCGATGTGCAGTAGGTAAACTAAAGACTAAAAAAAGTTGGCAGTTACAGTTATACGAAAACAATAGATTATTAGAGTTGATATTCTCTTAACGTTAAAAAGAGTTATGATCTTATATCGATTGATAAAGGGCAAGCAAAACAGGTACCAAAAAAAAACAAACAAACTACGCCATGATTGCTTGTTCCCCTTGCAGAAGGTTTACGCCACCACCTCCCAATATTCCTAGTGATCATGATCATGTGTCTAGAAAGTCTATATTAAAAATAGTAGTCATAGAACTCATCAAGCAATGACAATCTTTTAGGCTTTTGACCGGAAAGTGCGCTCATTTTTTTTTCCTGAGGAAAAAAGTAGATTAGGGAGTTAAATAGAATTGTTCTGAGCCATTTGAGGTGATACAGTTCACACAAGAACCAAAAACAAAACAACGAAAACAAAATAAAAAACAT